CCACAGATAGATACTTGTTTATTTCTTCTTGCTCAAATAGCTACTCTACTGTAAGCAACTGTACGCATCTTTCACTTTGTGCGAGAATATATTTAGAGTACAGCGTAGTTTGACATTGGACTGTAGAGAGTGAAAGCACAGCCATGCTCTACTTGAGGGATTTAATCAAATGTCTCTTTAAAGAGATTTTTTTGTTGTTGTTGTTGTTTCTGGTTTTTTTTTTAGACAGGGTTTCTCTGTATTGCTTTGGAGCCTGTCCTGGAACTTGCTCTGTAGACCAGGCTGGCTTCGAACTCACAGAGATCCTTCTGCCTCTGCCTCTGCCTCCCGAGTGCTAGGACTAAAGACATGCACTACCAACTGCCAGCAAGATTGTCAATTATTACATGCAAGAGGTCTATTTGCTCACACAGCAACCAGCATTGTGTGGCATCAAACATTTTGTTAGGAAAAAAATGTACTTCATAACTTTAGTAGAAGCCTTTATGAAATAGTGGTAAGTTATAAAGAAAAACTCAAAATTTTGCATAGAATATGGACTTAGCCATGGACTTAGTGATTGAAAAAGATTATGCCAAAATACTCACAGTAGTTATAATATCGGCCTAGGCACTATTTCATTATTACATCATTTCTGTAATAGTATTTAATTTGTTAGCAAAATTATACTGCTTCTCATAGACTCATAGTTATAGCACACACTTAACTTGTGTTTTAAACACAATACTTCTCCTGGGTGATGTGTTTAAAGACACTTGAGGAGGGACTGGAGAGGCTTAGTGGTTAGGATCGAGTATTGATTATCCTTCTGGAGGACCTAAGTTCAGTCCCCAGCACCCATGGGGTGTGGCTCACAACTGCTTGCAACTCCAGCTCTGGGGGTTCCCACACCCTCTCCTGGTGTAAGAACAGAAGTATGCTCCACATGAGTGTCCGTGAGCGTCCTCCGCACACACACATAAACAAATAAAAACAAGTATTTTTTAAGACCCACAAAACACCCCCATGGGCTAGCCAGCCAGTGGGTAAAGTGCTTTTTTGCCAACCATGAAGACTTAAGTTAGATCCTCAGAGGTCCTCTGTCAACCACACATGCCATGGGTGCCAATGGCCATGCCAGAGGAGCAGCAGATGGTAATTGAAGTTCAGGTGTCAGCCCACCAGAAGGGAATCTTGGACAGGCAAGGCCCGGAGACCACAGACCCCAGAACGGCTTCTGCTTCTGCTGTGCCTTTGCGTGTTTGCTGCCGCCATCTTTCTCTGGTGTCTGTCATGACGTGAATGCGTGTGGGGAGATCCCCACTGCCTGTAATGTGGTGTGTTTTATCTCATGGAAACATGCTGTTCTTCTGGGAAATTTTTACCTGTGGTTTATTATGAAGATGATTTCTTCCTACACTGTATTGTCTAATCTATTATAATGTTAGTTTACACCTAATTTAATGATTAAAAAATAAAACAAGGAAGCGTCATACAGCTGGAACGCATGAGTTTCTATTGAGGAACTGTATACACTGTGGCTTAGGTTAATGATTAAGAAAATAATTGAGCCAGGCAGTGGTGGTGCACGCCTTTAATCCCAGCACTGGGGGATAGAGGCAGGCCGATCTCTGTGAGTTCCAGGACAGCCAGGGCTGTTACACAGAGAAACCCTTTCTCAAAAAACCAAACCAAATCAAAACAACAACAACAAAATTGAGTTCCAGAAGCCCAGCTAGCTTAAATTTTTTTAACTTTAACATTGAGAGATGTGTTCAAAGGCTTCAGAGCGCAACATTAGCTGAAGCGGAGCCTCGCAATAACTTCAGGTTAGATCAGATGTCTCGATATTAGCTTTGAGGTGAAAAACACAGAAGACAAACTAAAGTTTTAGAAAGGCACATAGTTGAGTGAGGAAGTTTTTAAGGTCAGGGAACAAAACACAAAGCAGATCAATTGTTATTGGCTGACATACCTTCCTTGCTAGTGTTGGCTGATGCTCAAAGGTGATGATCAATTCCTTACACCCATTTATGCCCCCAAGCTCCTGATCAAACAAACAAACAAACTACTGATGAGTGGGTATGCACCCCAATGATTTAAAATAGAGCTGACTGATTCTTTTTCGTATATAGAAGTTTAGGTTTGTGATTCCTTTAAGATTCCTTATAAGATTACCTTTTAAGATAAGTAATAAAGTAAATGGCCCTTTCTTTGTAACTGCAAAAGGAAGCCTGCCAGTAAAAGACCAGACTGAGAAGAATATCTTGCTTGCCTACATGGTTAATCTATAACAAGTTGCTTGGGTATGAATGCATATGGGCTCTTGGGATAATTTGTTTCTCACTTGTGATATGTAAAATGTTTAATTATGTAAGAGATATGGAAAACATGCTGTTTTTTTAAACTTGTATTCATTGTAATCATTCATTTGAAAAACAATGTAACCTCATTGTAACTTTTATATTGCTGTAAAGGTTTTTCTGGGGTGTATAAGATGTAAGGGAAAAAATAAAGAGAGAGTTAAAATGGGTTAGAAGGAAAACACCAAGAATAAAGAGGAGTTAGAAGGAAAATATCAGGATTAGGAAACTAAGGAAGAATACAGATAGAGTCAGAAGGAAACATCTAGAGAGACAGAAGGGAAATTTCCAGATAGAGATACGAGAAGACAAGGCACAGAACCAAGACCGCAGAAGAATAAAGAAGGAAACCACTGAAGAAAGTTTTTCCTTTGACCCCCTCAGATTAAACAGTCATGGTACGAAGTGACTCTCCATTCCTTTTGAGCCTTGCACTGTTGGAGGTTGGTCCCCAACATGGGCATACAAGGTCTCTACCTTTACCAAACACACATTTAATAGATAAACAAACAAGCTAATAATAACAACAATAACAAAAAACACAGTTGGAGAGTATTTTCTGGCAGGGAACAACCACTTTCAATTCTCAGTTGTACCACCAGAGGGTGGAAGAGAGTTAAAATCCAGAGATCTTAGAGGCCTGCTTCAGGAAAACCAAGTGTACTATTTTGGCATTGGGAGCCTGACTTAAGATTTAAGACAGGGAGGGAGGGAGAGGGAACTGGGATAGACATGTAAATAAAAAAAAATAAAATAAAATTAAGACTAATGTAAAAATAATATACACAGCCCGGCATCAGTGGAGCACACCTTTAATCCCAGCATTTGGGAGGCAGAGGCAGGTGTATCCCTTTGGGTTTAAGGCCAGCCTGGTCTACATGGTGAGTTCTAGGACAGCCAGAGAGAGCTACATAGTGAGACTCTGTCTTGAAAAAAAAAAGTAAAACCAGGAAAAAAAATATAATGAGAATTTCATGTAAGATATTTATCACAAGCTTCCCGATGGCTATGATGGCACATGCCTGTAATTCCAGCAACTTTGGAGGCAGAGGTGGAAAGTTGCTAATTCAAGACCTGTCTGGGCACAGAGTGAGTTTAAGGCCACCATAGGTAACCTAATAAGATGGTGTCTCAAAAACAAGCAAAAAAGCAACAAAAACATAACACTAAAAGACAGGGGCCCTGGATTGAACACCCAGAGGGGGGAGAGAGAGAGAGGCAGAGGGGAGAGAGGGGGAGGGAGGGAGGAACCCAAAATTAAGAATAATAAAAAAAGAACTTGCAGGAAAGTCCCAGCACTCCAGCCTTCTGTACCGTGTCTTGTGTGGCCCACCCACTCCTGAGGTCCTGCTTATCTTCACACACCCCCCCCCTGCACACCTGGTCACTGCGGCTCCTTACAGGTGTAGCCAGGCTTCCCTGCCTTGGCTCTACCTCAGCTTATTACTTTATGTGTGAGTCTTTGGCCTGCATGTGTGTCTACGTACCGCCTGCATGCCTGTGTGTTAGATTCCCTGAATCTGGAGTTGGGGACTGCTGTTAGTTGCCATATGGATACTGGGAAATGGAGCAAGTCCCTTGGAAAAGCAGAGAGTGGCCCTTACTTAGTCTCTGTTGTGGATGCTCGTGAAGAGCCAGGTAAATGGACACATGTCCATGGAGAGTCACAGGGCAGGGCTCTCCACCCCCTCCCAACCTCCCCCTGTCATTGCAGATGACTTTACTGGTAGGACTTGGGGGTAGAGTTACTGGGTAGAACCTTTGTGAGCTTCTTCTAATCGGTCCACAATTGCCTTGTACGGTGCCTGGATCTAACTAGAATTTACTGCAGTGGCAAATGCTTGTTTTGGCCTGACAGATAAACGGGCATGCTCTCTCCAGTTTTCTTAGCTGAACCTGCGTTCTCTCCCCTTGGAGCACTTACTTCTTACCCAGGAAGACACAGCGCCAAGTCTTTTGCCCGTTAGGAAGGTGAGACGTCTAACTTTGGTTTCTTCATCCCCTAAACAAGTGTGAATTTGGACAACTCTTTTAGCCTCTCTGGGTTTCAGGCTGGGCACTGGGCACACAGAACAGATGTCTACTACCAGGCAAGGAAGGATCTGACTTGCTCTGGGTCCTATTTGGTTGGTTTCTTTATGAGGCAAGGTCTCCTCACTCTGTAGCCCAGGCTGGGCTTGAAACTCACTCTCCAGTCTCAGTTTCCTCAGTACTGGGGTTACAGGTGTGAACCTTCTTTTCCTTCTCTTGGTTTTATGTTGTAGTCTAGAGGGCGAGGGAAGCCGGCTAGCCAGGCTCTTACTGTCGGGTGAGCCTGGTGGTGGAGAAGGATCCTTAACTGAGTACAGGTTAAGATCTGTCAAGTTGACGGGAAACATCAGCAATGCCTTTTTCTTGGCATTTTAGACTAAAACCTGCAGTCACCCCCAGGTCGGTGAGTGCACGCCACTCGTTTGTAGCTTCAGTGCGGTAAGCCAAGGCTGGCGCTGTCCTAGGCTTTCCACCGATCAGGAGGGATTCCGGAGGGGAGGAGGCGTCCTGCAGTCGTTCAGGCGTCCTGCAGTCGTTCAGGCATCCTGCAGTCGTTCAGGCGTCCTGCAGTACGGGGCTCCGACTGGCCGCCCCCCACGGAGCTGCAGGAGCAGCCGCGCCCTAGGGCTGCCCTCTGCAGGTGCGCGGCGCGGGCGGGGCGCGGGGCGGGCGCAATCGGGCGTGGCTTAGGACCCGGGGCGGCTTCCCCGAGCGACAGTGGAACTCCGGAGTTGCGCTGGACCTTGGCCCTGACGGTCAGAGCTCCCGGCGCGATCCCGCCAGCTGTCCTCCCAACGCCTCCGGCCGCTGCCCTCCGCCGCCACCCGCTGCCCTCCGCGCCGGCATGACGGGCTCGCTGTTCAAGGCAAACTTCTGGGTAAGTGAGCGCGGCGCCGGGCGAGCGGAGCCCCGGGTGTGCGCCTCTGCCCGCCCTGCCTTCCACTGCCCCGGCCGCGCTGGCTGCGCCCGGAACACCTGGGACCTGACGTCAGCCCTCGTTCTCACGCTAGAAAACCGAAGCCCCGAAGGAGGAGCGTCGTCGGGAGACCTGGGAGAACCGGGATGGAGGGTGTGAGCAATCACTCCGGGCTTTGCTCTTCCCTGACAGTCCCTCTGATTTCCCTCCCAGCCCCCAAAGCACCCGGGGACGGCCATCGCACGGGTGTGAGAGCCAAGAGCGGGCGGTTCCAGGTCTCCTCCCCGCACTTAGACATCCTTTCCTCGTTCTGTTACCCTACAGCTACCTACCCTCCAAGGGTCCATTTCCCCCTTAACTCCGAGGAAGCCCCCCTCCCCCGCCCCGTTCTTAAGGCAGGGCATGAAAAATGACCCACAGCTACTTCCTCCGGTAGCTTCAGAGTTGCCTACCACACCATTCTTCCACCGTGACTCCAGGGACAGTTAGAACCTACCATGTCCCATTTGCTTGAGGTGTTGAGGTCCTTCCGGGGGCACTGGCAGGAAGGCAAAGGGCTGGGGTAGCATCCCAGCAAGGAGCAGGAACCTTCTATTTGGTCCTCTTATGAAGCCTGTGAAAAGAAGGACAAAGCGGTATACAGTTATTTTTTGCTGACAGTTGAGTACAGGGGCTTAAGCGGATGGTATGTTTGCACGGTCCCGGGGTGCCTGCAGCGCATCTGGTCCTGGAGCAGGCTTAGTCAAAAGTGTCAAGCAAAGGACTGCTGTTGTCCTTCGACTCTGGATATCTCAGCTTGAGTTCAGTTAAGGACCCGCCGGGGACACTTCTCCACCAGCCCCAGCACCCAGCACTAAGAACTCAAGTCTCTTTCCTTTCCTTCCAACTCACCTAGTGGTGGCTCATACCTGAGATGCCAGCTCTGAAGGAGGCTATGCCATCATCCTAAGAAGCTGCTGGCAGCCCTCGTCCCATGTACACTCTGGCAGGAATGGTCAGGAGGAGGGGCAGAGTGGAGTCTGAGTTGGGACCTAGAGTGAAGGTCTAGGAGTGATGGTGGTGGTGGGGTGTGTGTGTGTGTGTGTGTGTGTGTGTGTGTGTGTGTGTGTGTGTGTGTGTGTGTGTGTGTGTGTGTGTGTGTGTGTGTGTGTGTGTGTGTGTGCGCGTGTGTTGTGACAAGTTTCTGGTCTCCTTCCTTCCTTCCTTCCTTCCTTCTTCCTTCCTTCCATTGTTTTTTTGAGTTTTGGAGCCTGTCCTGAAACATGATCTGTAGACCAGGCTGGCCTCAAACTCACAGAGATCTGCCTGCCTCTGCCTCCCTAGAGCTGGGATTAAGGGCCTGTGCCTCTGGTCTACTTTCAAAAGCTCCCTGTGGTCCCAGTAACACTTTGCAAAGCTGTTGCCCATCTCTAGTTCCCGCAGTTGTTTGATTCACGTAAGGAAAAGGACTGGATTGCTTACTGTGCATATTATTAGGTTCTCCAAATGCTTTACACACATCATTCCCTTAACCCTCCCACTTTCCGTTGGAGGGAACTGACTCACCATGGCATTTTACTGATGAGGAAACCAAGCTACAGGGAGGTTAAGCAACATTCTCAAGGCCCCAGAGGTGATGAATAGTGGCTCAGGTCTCTGCATGCACTGACTGTCCCCCCAAGTGTCTCCAGGAGAGTGGCATGGAGTGAGTATGCCCCAGAATACACGTCTGCCTGCAGTCGGTGTGGGACATGTTGGGCCATCACATGACTGTTCACGAGAGTCTTCCTTTCTCCTTTAGCTGGGTCAGGAGTTCTTGGTGGGTAGGCAAGGTTTACCATGAGCAGAGGCCCCAGCATCAGCATCAGCAGAGGCCCCAGCATCAGCATCAGCAGAGGCCCCAGCATCAGCATCAGCAGAGGACCCAGCTTCAGCTACTGTTCTTGCATCGTTTATACCTAAGTTGAGGCGGATAGGATTGACCGGGGCGTTGGGATCTGGAAGGAAGGGCACAGAAGGGGCTGTCCAGGAAGAAAGGCCACTTGCCAAGTAGTTGTGCTTTTAGGGCACAGGGACAAAGTCTTGACTGAGCCGAGGCTGTAACAGTAACCTTCTGTCATGGATGAGAAAGCTGTGACTGCATTAGGCAGAAAACTTTGAAAACAAGCAGGCACTGACTACCCAGGGTCAATACATTTGTATGAAATGTTTACTCTGTATAAATGTAGTAGATGTGCTACTTGCTGGGGTTAAGTCTGTTGCAAGCTTCACAGGAACATGGACAACTCCTGAGGAAGGCCAGTAGAGAAGGGTTTCTCTGTGTAACAGCTCTGGCTGTCCTGGAACTCACTCTGTAGACCAGGCTGGCTTTGAACTCACAGAGAAGCCTATGCCAGGGTGGATATCATGGGTGGGAAAGGAACTAGGTATAATTAAAGTCTCAGGCTGGGTCAGTTAACTGGGGTCAGCAGAAGGAAGGAGAGAGCCTAGAGCTAGCTCTGTGGAAGGGGAACTGGGGAATGGGGGGGGGGTGCCCTGAAGGAGGAAGTCAGCAGGAGGAACTGGTTTGTGGAGGCAGAAGCAGGAGGGAGAAATGACTGAATGATGTCACACCTGTAGAGGCGTGGGTACAAAGCTCCTGCTGGCCCAGGCCTAGCCTCGAAAGTTCAGGCTCACCTGGGAGCCCCAGGCTGGCCCTGAAGGTACAGACTCAGCCTGCAGCTCCAGGCCAGGTCGATGAGTGTTGAGGACTTCCTGCCAGAGGAGAGTTTTCTGGGAGGGAGGACAGGGTACCGCCTAGCAGGGTTTGGAAGTATTCTAACGTTTTGGACATTGCAAACATGTCAGTGAGTACTCCGTTGTGTGCTAGCCTACATCTACTATCTGGTGTCTGGTGGAGATGCCGCTGTTCTTTTGGAGAGGGTGTCCTGAGAGACCTCAAGGAACAGCACAAAACACAAAGCATCATGTAGTATCAGCAGGGCCTGTGAGGTGAACTTGCCTTCTCTGGCTTGGTGACTTTGTGCCGGTTGCCTAACCTCTGAAGCTTCTGGTCCCCCCCACCCTGTGTATTATAGTGGAAATAATATCGGTCCCTTCTAGGAGACTCTTTCTTGGGAGATTAAATTACAGAGCTGAGCACAGTGACTGGTACCTTGTAATTGTTAGCGGTTGTTACTCTCCGCACGGGTGACAAAGGAAGTTAGGGACAGTTACTCAGGAGAAAGGATGAAGAGGTAAGACTATGAGGAAGCACTTTGTGGGGGGTGGGGGTGGGGGCTGTCAAGATGGCTCAGTGGGTAAAGCATGGACCCACAGGATGGAAAGACAGAGCCAACTTCCACAAGTTGACCTCTGGCCTCCACACATGTGCTCTGGTTTGCTCGTCTTGTCTCCAGGAATAATACAAAATAAAAAAGTAAACTTAAACAGAAGAAGGACTGGCAGAGCATGGTATCTCACACCTCTAATCCAAGTACTGGGGAGGCAGAGGCAGGTATACATTTAAGGCCAACCTGGTCCTCAGAGCTAGTTATAGGACAGCCAGCGCTACACAGAGAAACTCGGTCTTGAAACAAACAAAAACGTGAAGAAGAGAAAGAAGGAGGAGGAAGAGGAGGAGGAGGCCTGATTTAGGAAGGAGAAGGAGGAGGCCTGATTTAGGAAGGAGGAGGGGAACAGAGAACAGGTAGGGACCAAAGGAGGGCAACCAGGAAAGAGGCCATCACAGGCTCCAGAGAGGAACATGTTGGAGAGGTTCATGATCAAATTAAGTCCAGCTCCTGAAAGTTTAGCTAACACACTCATCTTATTTAAATGTCCTATGAAGATGTTTCTTTACCGGGGGGGGGGGGGGGGGCTTTTGAACTTGTGAGCTGGTTCCATGGGTTGAGGCACTTGCCATCAAGGCTGATGATCCCTGCGCCACACATGGTGAGAGGAATGAATAAACTCTTACAAGTCGTCCTCCTTGGACTGGAGAGACGGATCAGCAGTTAAGAACGCTGGCTGGTCTTCGGAAAGCCTGGGTTCAGGTCCCAGCACCCACATGGCAGCTCACAAGTTGTCCTCTGGTTTCCATCCCCCCCCCCATGCCTCCCAATAAACAAATGAATGTAAAATGCAAAATACATAAGGGAACCTTTTGATGGTTCTGTTTTGCAATGAAGTAATCAATATTCAAGAAATATATGTTCAGGGTTATTTTATGTGCGTGATCATTCTCCCTGCACGTATGTAAGCACAAGGTGCGTGCAATTCCCCCGGAGGACAGAAGAGGAATGTAGGATCCAGGAACTGGAGTTACAGATGTTTGTTAGCTGCAGTGTATGTGCTGGGAACTGAACCCCAGGTCCTCCGGAAGAGCAGCCAGTGCTCTTAACCACCTCTCTAGCTCAGTGGTTCTCGACCTCCCTAATGCTATGACTTCTTACAGTCCATGTTGTGGTGACCCCCGACCACAAAATTATTTTGTTGCTACTTCATAACTGTAATTTTGCTCCTGTTATGCATTGTAATGTAAATGTCTGATAAGCAGGGTATCTGACATGTGACCCTTGTGGGGTCGAGACCCACGGGTTGAGAACCTCTGCTCTAGCCCCTGCTTACACTTTCTTGATGGAGCCACTCCGAGCATTATCTATTGATTACTGCTATAACGGAGGCCTTAGCACTGTCTTACTTGCCTATAAAGTTATGCCTAAGAATTTTTAACTTTATTTAGAAAAAAGTTCAAAGTTCCAGAAATTTCAAGGTTGTAAATGATTAACATATAATATTTCCTCTGTTATTTTCTTTGTTGTCCATACCATTTCTTATATAATGTATTTCTGGCACTCGGGAGGCAGAGGCAGATGGATCTCTGTGGGCTGGAGGCCCGTGCTCTTAGGCCGTAAGACGGCTGTTTACTCAGAGCGATCTATACACTGTGATCACTTCTTTGTTCTTGGTTTTCCTGGACATTATCATTTTTTTTCCTTATG